TTATTTCACCGTGACCATAGGACCTGTAAAGGGACCGAAACGTCGGTTTGTTTGAAAAAACAAATATAATGTGAAAAAAATGGATTTAAATCCGGAAAAATAGTTTCATTTCCTATGGTAACAATCACGAAAATCTAAGAACTCGATATGTACTCTTTATTTTATTTTGAAGCAGAGAACCGACTTAAAATCAATTGTTAAACTGCAGAAGATCTTAAATAACTGGATTTAGATATAAAAAAATATTTAATGAAATAGGTTACAATCAAATACCTTATAAATAAACACCGGATATAAATGTTTTGTACTAGGAGTTTATAGGTTTAGTTTTGTATTGAAAGTCGGATATTAAGGACCTAAGTTTTAGGGTCAGTGCAAATCTCAGCGCAATGCTCCGAGACCTTGGAGGATCGCGACGCATTTTTCTCGGCATCTCAGAGCATTGAAATTTATACCTTATGTCAATTAAAATAGCATACAATATACATTGATAAATGTAATGTCCTCTGCCTTTTACGGTTGCCGCGCCGGTTTGCGGTGGATTTGTTACATATTTGGTTATAAAATCCTAAATCATTATTATTTATTTATTTTGTTTGCTGTTGTAGTCAGATCTATTATGTGGCTATATTTACAGACCACATAAATTTCTTCCGTGGCTATTATCATTCATAATAAACATGATCAAAAAGTTTATAATTCTGTCAAAATTCTCATTATTGTGAAGGAAACCGCCATCCACCAGTGAAACCAATTCTTATAAAAATATTAGCAGATGAAGCTATTCACAACTTTGGCATCACTAATAGTTCAGTCAAAATCAGTTGAAATGCTCACACAAAATAGTTAATATTTTTTAAATTATTCATTATTTCATTTACTACATATCGCACGTTGACCAACAAAGTCACTAAACGAAAATCTCAACTTTCGGGAAATGGTCATTAAAGTTTCCGAAAGTATCTAACTTTAACTTTGAAATGTCCCATCTAATCGTGTTCACAGCTGCCCCCTTCGTTTTGTTCAAATCTGCTCCACCATTGGAGCAGATTTGAACAAAACAAAGAGTACTATTACTCTACAAAATAACAATGAATACAGGCCAATCCATAGGACAAGCAAAGTTTAACTCACCATCATCTATATTCCTCCAGTAATATCCTTACAACTATTTTTGAGAATGTTTACTTTTCGACGCTGAAAGTAAACACGACCTCTCATTTAGTTTTTGGCGCGCGCACACTGACTGTTGCCACTGTCAGGTGTGGGGCTCAGTGTTGCCATATTACAAACATAAATCCTACTATATTTTCTTTGAAACTGACTGCGCAAACGCATTTATTCTGAACTGCCTCTGTTCTAAGCTGCCACCTGCTCCCCTACTATTATTTAATCCGTCACACATCCTAGAGACATGCGATGTCTCTAACGCTCAGATGTGCTTACATCATCTTTATAGATACCGTATGCAAATACATACGGACCTGTGACGAATTAAAGGAGTAGGTAATTCGATGATGATAGTTGAAAATACACAAGATATATTTTCAACATTTGACGCATGAATTAGATCTCTAATCAAATACAGTGTTTGGGCGTTTGCCTTTTTAATGGCGACATCACAATAGCCTTCCGGAATAGGTATACCTACTTACAGTCATAACAATGTGCAAAAAATATGACGAAGCTTCGTGTGGACAAGACTACTAATAGTACCTATTTGAAGGTCAAGGATTCCGTTTAAGTAAGAAATTGAGAGTGTTGACTAGATCTATATTCAAAGGTGGAAATTTGAAATGTCGTAAGGGACATTTTATCGTAAGGGAAAATGACCTTACGACGAAATGTCTGTAAGGACATTTCAAATTTCCACCGTCGATATAACGCTAATATTTCGTCATTGTATCGAATTTAGAAGTGTCGTAAGCTACATTTTGAAGTAAAGAACATTATCCATTACGACAAAATATTCCTTACAACATTTCAAATTTCCACCATCGATATTTTACAATTCAAATTAGAAGCCACTAACTTAAGTTTGTTTCAAAAACTTGCATAATGCTTTTTTTATTGAGAGGGAGTCCATAGTGGTCACTGGTCAGACAAGTTTAAATATTTTCTATTTTGGGAGCTAAAAAAAATATTACAACTCAAGACTATCTTTAAATAATAATAGTCTTGTGTTCCAACATTTTTTTATTTAGATAATAATAATAACAACAATAACGCACATACACAACATAGCCCTGCACTAGGGATACACTGTGTCGCGGGTGCCATGGACACACACATAGACAACCACAAATTACACCTAAACTCACGAGAGAAATAAATGTTGGCCATACAAATATTTCTCCCGGCCCGGGAATCAAACCTGGGACCTCTGCGTGGCAGTCCGGCATGGTAGTCATTCGGCCACGGAGGCAGTTCATCACACAGCAGTAAGCACAGCAGTAAGTACTTCTGTGTTCTGTGTATATAGTAGCAGTAGAGCGCCTCGGGAAAGAGTTCGTCCAGGTAAGTACTGCCACCTTACCTATTTCTGCCCCCAAGCAGTAATGTCAGCATTACTGTGTTTCGGTTTTAAAGGGTAAGAGTTCTGGTGAAATGTGCCTGTACACATGGGACTTGTCAACTTATGTCTCAGGGTGACATGCGCAGTGGCAATCCCCCTTAGGTCTTTGCGATTTAAAGCTGTGTGGCACTGCAACTATTATGGACAGGCGTGTAGCTTACCATCAGGCGGCACACGACTTGTTCGTCCCGTCACGTGATAGTATAAAATATATATATATATATAGTAAAGATAAACAGGGAGTGAACATACACAGGGTTGTAGTTGGTAATGTTGCAGGGTTGTGGTTGGTAAGTCGCACGGCTGACTACGCATATGCAATATTAGGATGTTCCATTGGTATCAGAAACGCTGCCTGTAGACAGCGGCGTTTACTACAGTCTATCAATGCCTCTACCATGAGATTACAGTGACAGTACTCGCTAGTGACCGCGTAAAATTTTTGTATACAAATTGTTGTTTCTTCTTATGACCGCTAGGGGCGCTGTATAATTTGCCATAAAAAATTGTGAAGTTACTAATGCGGTCGCTAGCGACAACTGTCACAGTAGTAGATCTCGTGGTAGAGGCTCAGGTCGACAGTCGGATTGATAGACGATTACAAAAGTAATTATTATAGATCATACATCCAATGTGCATACAGCGTTATTTGTAAAATACTTAACAGCCTCGCGGGACTGTATTACTAACACCATAAACAATAACTTTTGTTCAATGACTTAATGATTCGTACAAGAGTAAAAATATTTAAATAGGTCATTTTAAACATTGATAACTCTGTGCGGTGGCAACAGAAAGCACGAAACATGAAACTTCTTACTATCAAATGCATATTTAAAAAGTGAAACAAAATCTTAAAAGTTATTCTTGGTAAATTTGTTTTGTAAAAAAATCATGGAACTAATGTTGTAGTTTCTGATGTTAGTAATTACTTCAGCGAGGATGTTAATATTTTACAATTAATCCTGCATTTTGAGGTTGATGCTAAATTAAATAATAATTTGTTGTTAGAGATAGCCTTCTTTCTCTACAATCTCGTAATTTCATTCCTTATTATATGCATTTATTATAATATTTATTATTATTATTATTATTACTATTATTATTATTGTTACTATTTATTATTTATTTAATTTTTCTACAAAACTATTTAAGTAGGTTTTATAACTGCGTATTATCCATATGTATACATTATTATTAGTATAGAATTTATTTATTAATATTTATTTGAAACACTTCCATTAGACGAAATTCCTTGTTTGCACCCCCTTCAAACTACTAAATTTCAACCCTAGGGTAGCCTGGAAGAAGTTGCGAGTTATCAATAAAGCTGCCTGTAGTATATTTATTTTATTAATTGATACTAACACTCTACGGTTCTGTGTTGTCATTTTAATTTTTTAATGTGCAATAAAGAATATTTCATTCAAAGTGTTTTTACTGGTGATTTTAGTGCTATATTTCAATTATTGTTCTGATAGATATTTTTCATGTTTGTCATATTTTGTTTTTTTTTGTATATTTTTTGTTTTGTTTGTGTTTTTATTTCATAATTTATTTATGTTTAGACGTAAAACGTAATAATGTTTTGTTTTATTCTGTTTTCTCTTGTAGTGTCATTTGTGGTTAAGAAATAAATATATTTTTTCTTTCTTTCTTTCAAAGAATAGAAAGCGGAAAAAATCAACTTATCTCGTCACTATATTACAAAATTTGCTTCACGTCGTAGAAAGGACTTGTTGCGGTTGCTTCCAAACTTTTTCATCATGTAACTTTTTTATAAAAAAAACACCGACCTCAAAAGTTCGTGGAATTACATTCATTTGCCAAGTTTTATTGAAATCGGTTAACGGAAAGTGCGCGAAACCGTATTCATCCCCTAGTTTTCCACCCTTAGAGGTGGAATATTTTCTTCAAATTTAAATGACACCAATACTGAGGTCTTTTCAACAAAAAAAGTCATCAAAGTCGGTTCACAAAGGGGCGGAGTTATCGCATACTAACATACAAAAAAAAATACAGTAAAAAAATCCTCTTCCATTTTTTGAAGCAGTTAAAAATAGATATTCGTATACCGCTGAGAAAATTTATTCATAATGATTAATCACTAATAACAGGTTTCTTACCAAGGTAAGGTAAGAAACCGTAGTAAGTAACCTGTAATTAATTAGTGATAATCATTCCGTAAAAATCTTTATTCATAATGTTTGTTATCATAAACATAAATACAACAAACTTTCCGTTTTATCACATAAATAATAGATTTCGTTATTGGAGTGCTACAGTAACGTGTGGTCACCTCAGTTCGTTGTCTAAACCGTTGAAACGGTTAGTCAAAAAAAAATAGGGAGCGATTTACAGCACAATAGATACTGTAAAGATCAAGGCTAAAGTTTGGTATATAAGCTTAAGTGAATAAGCAAATAGTATGATTCGGTAGTACACTGCATCTCTACAAACATGTTCGGCAAAATTGTAAGTAATTTGGACACATCACAATACTCTACTTTTTACATTTGCTTAATATCAATACTGTACGGGACGGCCGCTTGTGATAAATTAAAATAGTTTTAAGTACTTATCATGTAGGTGTAACTTACTAGCTTCATAATTAAAGATATTTTTGGTTCGGACTTTTAATTCGCAACTAGTACCTAATTAAGTACAATAGATAGTAAATAGAAATAAAAGGCAAGCTCATTTTAGGAAAAGATTTCCAAAATAGAATAGATATAAAAGGATTAAATAAAACCGCGGCTCTCGTCACGGTATTGCTGAGGTCTAGCTGAGCTTTTATTTCTGTTCTTCTTTTGTTTGTTTTCTCTCTCTTTCTCTTTTGGCTGTTTTGATGATTGTGTTTTTTTTTTATAATTTAATAATCACTAAACAAGATATTTCGATCCGGCTGGACTCGAACCACCGTCAGCATTTAGAGTTCAGCCGTGCCGAGGCTTTCCGAACTGAGCCTCTCAACGATTTTATTTTTGGGTTTAACGACTTTTTTGATGTAGTGATATCTGTGAGAAATCTATGAAAGCTTTTCTTCTCTCAGACCTACCTTTACACCTACCAGCGGCTGACTAAAAATGTCGCTTTAATAATTGTAATATGATGTTTAATAAGTATCACAATGTTTTGCAACTTGATATTCATTTGTTTTTGCGAAATTACTCCACTAAGTAGTTTCTTATAATTATTAATTCAAAGATCGAACATTAAGAAAAATTACTTCGATCCGGCTGCATTCGAACCAGCGTCTTCAGCATATCGTGCCGATGTGTTTTTTTTTATAAATCCCTTCTTGCCTTTGTTAAGCACTTTATGTTCTTTTCTAGAGGTGCCAATTCGTTAATGGCATTTGAATACACATCATTATGTATAACTATAATAATAATTACATCGTGAATTTTACAAAAACGGAATAAATAATTAAAATAAAAAACAATAGTAAAGAAAAATAGATTGCGCTGTTTAACTGTTGTTAAAAAAAATCTGTATTGTTGTAGTTGGTCCTCTTTGCTGTCCTGGCTGTGGCGTTCGCCGCACCCAATCCTGCGCCAGAACCAAAGCCCCAGTACTTGGCCTACACCTCTGGTCTGGGCTATAGCGTGCCTGCCGCTGTCTCTGGCTACGTTTCTCCCTACGCAGCGGCCCCTGTTGCCTACTCTGCCTACCCTGGAGCTTACTACGTCCGCTGAAAACCAACAATACCATTTTAACTCCTTCTTCAACTGACGACTGGCTTTGAACCTTTGATTAAGAGTGGCAATTATAATACAGATGTAAAAACTTTTGCAGAAATAAAATAAAACAATAATTATTTTGTTTTATTATCTTAATTCCACCTAATCTCGCAAAAGTCTTAAAAAGTAAGTGAATAAAACACCTTAGGTGTATTTATATTCTTCGGGGGAATATGAACTGAAATTATAATGAAGTGGACTTTCTCGTGGTAGTTTGAATATGTATATTAGCGAGTGAGTAGTCTCCAGTGAGAAGTCGATTTAACCTAATGAGGGTGACATTTCTCGTGATATTCACTGTTTATATCAATAGTACTAAACTGCACACGATCTATGTCGTGCAGGTCTGTGTTTCGAAAGGAAACTTTGGTCTATTGCATGTAAGGCTAGCGTTCTCTCAACTGGGTTATCAGTAGCAGCATCGTACAAAAGAAGAATCAACCGTTCTACGATTGTTATTAAGCTGTGTGATTCACCTTGAGACTTGACAGGAAAAATTAAACAACAGAAGAGTGTAATAAGTATTTCGTAACTGCAGTTGTCCAGAATGTAAAAATATGCACAAGAATATGTAGACCGCTCAAACTCTTTACTTATTTTTGGAAGATTTACAGCAAATTTTTAACAGTAACTATAATGATAAGTAACAAGTGAGAGTTCTAATTACAAATCTCCACAATTAGCACAAAAAATAGGTTATTAAGGTCATTAGCAGAAACTAAAACATTATTATTGGAATGTAAACAATATAATATTATTTAAAACATTGAGAAATCCAGGTACACGTGCCAATATAGGCTAAAGAAGAAGAAAATATTTAACCAACTTAAACACGGGAAACAAAACAATTGAGAGATAGGTAATTAAGTAAAGTATTGCATAGTACGCTACGCTGGTACTGAACAGATCTATGTCAATAGACGATTGGTCAATAGACACGATCCTTAATAGCTCTGATAAAAAAATAATTTTGCCTATAATTGGTCTTCGCCCTGGGCACACACAGCACTGGTTGACGCCTGAGACTTAGCTTGATTAGTCCTAAAGGATAATTCTAGGGTCGGCAAACTAAAGCACATAAGACATAAGTCAAAAAAGTGTTTCATTTGTTAATATATAATTATATTTTTTTTCGTGTTCTTTTTAGTGTGGGAAGTTAAAAACCTCTAAAATAAAGTTTGAAATGTATGAAGTAACAAATTAATTTAACTTATGTGCTTTAACCAGTAGATGTATTAATTTAAATGAATGATGTTAGATTTTGACTTATGTGCTTTAGTCTGCCGACTGCGGAGAATTTAGACATCACTTTCAATGAGCCAATTTTACTGTTCACTATGTTAAATAGGAACTAACATTTTGAGAAAGAATTTCCATTCTTTCTCAAAATGTTAGTGAATGACTCATTTGTCGACTTTAAAATGTAATTCGGTATGATTTTCCTTTTGACAATAAATGTTTATTGTTTGCTGATATACAAGTACTCAAATTCTAAAGCAAATGTAAGCTTTGGCAGAATTATTTGAAATTAACAATGTCTTATCTTATTTACAGAGTGTAATGCGCAACCGGATTGAAACTGACGTCCAGAAACCAGAAATGCAAGTGATACAAAAAAAATCATGAACTAAAAAAATTAGCGTACGCTAATTTTATAATATATATTTAAGATACAAAGTGACGGGACGAACAAGTCGTGGGCTTGGGTTGTAAGTGACACGCTCATTCGTGATAGTTGCAGTGCCACTCAGAGCTTCAAATCGCAAAGATCTGAGGGGCACTGCCACAGCAACCGTCATCCTGAGATTTAAGTTAACAACTCCCACGTCCCTATAATTTCAAGAGCACGCCTAGCCTTTACAAAAAATTAGTAAGTAATTGATACTTACATAAAGTGTTAGGTTAAAAAAAGAATTATGAAAATTGGAATAAAACGTTTTCGTATTTTCGAAAACACACGTTCGATAAACTAAGTTTTCATTAAAACACTGCCGCTAAAGGGCCACGGACTAAATACGTGAGTTACCCGTTAATTTACTTAATATGTCTGAGTCTCACGGTAGTTTTAGTTACGCATGAAATTTAAAACTAGCAAATGTGATTCTACAGATGACCAAGCCCAAATTTTAAATTTCGATTCGTCGGGAATCGAAATTCAGCCTGGTATAAATTTACTTGATAGTCAATTGTTTTTTTTAGCAGGAGAATTACCAGTTACATTTTTGTAGCAGCAGAGGTCCTTGTGAAAGAGTTCGTCCAGGGATGTAACCTTAAACGTAAACCTTAGCTATTTTTGTCGCCAAGCAGTAATGGTCAGCATTACTGTTTTCCGGTTTTGAAGGATAAGAATGCTGGTGAAATTACAGGTACATAGGACTAGTCAACTTATGTCTCAAGGTACGGGCGCAGTGACGATGCCGCTTAGATCCTTGCGATTTAAAAAAAATAGGCTTATTTGACACGCATAAATTTAAAACAAACAAAAAAAAATTATAAAAATATATTCAATAAAAAAAAAAAAAAAGAACGACGTCCAAAGGGTCCATGACTCAGCCTCTGCTAATTATTAATTAGGCCTCGCTGTTATTCTGTCATAATATAGAACATCACAATTCAAATAATATAAAAAAAATGCAAATTAAAATAACTGTAGACATTTAGGCGCTAAGTAAATAAAATTAGATACAAGCAACAATTAGACAAAGAAAAAATATATCAATTGAAGAAATAAATAAGTAATTTAAATAGCATAATACCAAGTACACACAAAACACAAGCTACTTCATAAAGCCTGCGTCCCAAGATTGCTTTTTAAACAGCCACAGAAAACATTTACGTTTTAAGTTGGTAGTGTCTCAAACACTACCAACTATATAAATATTTTGGTACTTGCTTGTCAAATAAAGTATGTAGAAAATACATTGACTTACAATTATATGGACGTCGGGTCCGCGCTAAAAAGTGTCCGCACTTGTAAGGCGCTAAAATCGTATACAGAGCGCGACACTCCGCTTTAGTCTTCATTTGTTCTACGGACAGCGCGATACTGCGATGACATAACAATTTAAATTTCGAATAGGTTGACTTGGGACATTTTTTTCGTGGTTTTTGTATTAGACCCGTCGTCCATTTATTTGTAAGTCAATGAGAAAATAGTAATATTTGAGACATTGAGAATTGCGCATATTTAGTATCTTATTTTTAATTAAATATGGTTTGTGTCCCTTCTAGGCGCAGAGTAACAATATCTTATGCATGCATTCTGAACTCTCTGTATGGCTTTATTTGTTTTTTCAAGTAAGCATGGTCCGTATACAATAGCTCAGGTGGGATAAAACTATAGCATTACACACCAGAGATGTCGTAACAATGTTGATGTATGGCCGAAGTCTATATAAGGATTTAAGACCCCAAAACATTTACTCAACATCTTAAGTTACCATCCATCACTACGCCCAGATTCCTAACACGTATACCTAACTCGTATTTCCAGTGCTTGAAATCATACTCAAGTCGGCTCAAATCCTGACTTGAGCATTGAGTAGAGTTCTGGAATACGACCCTTAAAGTTCTGAGCGACACTGCAATAGCATTTATTATGGACAGGCGTGTCGCTTACAACCAGGCGCACGACTTGTTTGTCCTGTCACTTGGTATCGTAATTATAGTTATTAAAACAAATACGTAATATCTAAAAATTTTTCATTAAGCATACATCTTCTTTTTCCAGGTTTAATTAATTTATAATAGAGAAACTATACGCAAAATACCTATAAAATAGCTATACCCAAAGCTCGCTTAGAGCCCTGCGTGCGCGATATAATAAAACGTCATTATATCGCGCACGCAGGACGCTACTGAGGCGGCAGCAACGGCCAACTGAAGACTATCGCGCATAGGAGTGAGCGCCCCGTGATGCAGCATTTAATAACAACCACATAATCCGGAGTAGAATTTAAGTACTAGCCTAATTATAAGCTATTTTTGTTACCAGCACTTCATGGATCCCTGTTAATAAAGACTTATTATTATTATTAAAATTTTAATAACTTCTTAGTAAACAAATTTTAATAAAACGAAATAATTAAGTGCGTTTACGCGACTGATTGTACAGTGATGAGGGAAATTAATATATTATTATTTACACAGCATTCGTTTTTTAACATCTTTATTATTATAGGAGATCAAACTTCAATTCTAAACACAGGCTTGCATCATATAGAATGGAATGAAAGAATATACATAGGGCGCACTATAAGTTTCCGGAACTGGCCACTTATATAAACAATATTTAAAAAGTAATTACGACATTTGAAAACGGAACTCTTTGGCTGTAGAGTACAGTTTGTTTAATCTGACAGTCGCTTGTTTTTACATTGTGGCGACATTTTAAAAATTGGCTGTCTACTGTCACCATGGATTTAACCGTGAAAATTTTCGTTATATGATTTTCTACGACTTTAAGTATAACTTAACAAAACAAACTTTTGGCGATGAAGCACTATGCAAGATGACTATTTTTTATAACTGGTTTGCAGAATGAAACGCGGTCGTGTGAATCTCAGTGACGAATTTCGTGATGGTCGCCCGTCCACTGCTGTGAACATAAAAACATCGATGCTGTGCGATCATACGGCGATCAAAACAGACAGGCTTGTGACATACCATGAAATTCGGGCATCTTTAGGCATAGGCATGATCAAATACAATCAATACTACACAAACATTTGGGTGTGAAAAAGCTGTGCTCTCGGTGGATCCCACACAATTTGACTGGCTCAAAAAAATGGATCGTGTCACTTGGTGCAATGCCATGCTTACCAGATTCAACGAAGGAGCGCCAAATTAGGTGTGGGACATAGTAACAGGTTACGAAACATGGATTTATAGTTACGATCCCAAAACAAAGCAGCAATCGAGAGTATGGGTCTTTCGACATGAGCCGAAACCAACCAAAGTAGCGCGTGTAAAGTGCCTCTTAGAGGATGATTGCTTCTTTTTTTAATAAAACTGGATACATGGCTACTGTTGCTTTGGAGAATCGTTGTACCATAAATAGTGATTGATACACGACCATTTGTTTGCCGGAAGTTATTGACAAACTCCGTAAAAATAACCGTAAACGCCGTATCATCTTGCACCATGATAATGCCAGTTCTCACACGGCCAAACAAACAAATGACTTTTTGAAGGTGAACAACGTTGGCCTTATGAGCCATCCCGCGTACAATCCCGACCTGGCACCTTGTGACTTTTATTTATTTCCAAAAATTAAGAACGTGGTCAACGATTTTCATCACCTGAAGAGGCTGTCGAAGAGTATGAAAAATATGTTTTAGAGATTGTCACGGAGGAGTGGCATAAATGTTTTCATTCGTATGAAAGAGTGCGTTAACGCTAACAGAGAATATTTTGAGAAACAATATATTCATTTCTGACCATTTATAGTATTTTTTTCTTATTCATTCCGGAAACTTATAGTCGCCCCACGTATGACGTGGAATATTGAATTGTCCCTGGTATACGGGACTTTCTTTTTTTTTTAATTAGGCCAGTGAGGATGAATTAAACCAATTTATTGTAATGGATCGGTTACCAGCAATAAATTATATGCATATGTCATACACACTCGGCTAGTTGATCTAATATTCCCTCGAATAGAATAAACAAAATACACTTGTGGTAAATTTATTTACTTTTTATTTACTATATATAACTAAGTACAAACGTAGAAAGGGAACGGTCTGTCAATAGTCAATACGTACCATACTCCCCAAATATATAATTCTTACTGTACACCCAATCATTAACACACGCACCTTATAAACACTCAATCATTCATTCTCACAGTTTACATATCGTGAGATTATTTAGTGTTAAGTTTAAGATGGTCTAAAGACTTAGTTTAGTCCACTAATTGCTTTTATTATAATTTAGGAATGTTTACGTGCTTTAATTAATTTTTCTCCTGTTTCACAACTATAGTGCCACCACATTGCTCATTTGCAGAGTGAGAGCCTGGTGACCCGTAATACAGGTTTTTCTATACCTATCTCAGGCATCAGTCTCTCTCAAAACAGTTTGATCAGTCTATGTTTTGTTTTAACCTTAAGGCCCCTCTTAACTCTGAAGCCTGTTTTGTGAAGTGAAATTATAGCACCATTTCATTTTATCATTTCATTTACTTTTAGAAGAGATTTACGTTCGTTTAATACAATAAAACTAAAAGTATTAAGCGAAGGAAACATCACGCGGAACGTTCCCAACCCACTCGGGACTCGTATCACTTACTCGCTAATAATAACATATACAAAGTACCGCGGGAAATTCCATTTTATTGTAATTTCACCTCGTATTTCCCTGAATAATATACATAATATATATATATATATATATATGCACTTACTCTTTTTAAAACTTTTACGAGATTAGGGAGAATTAACATAATAAAACAAAATAATTTGGTAGTGTTTTATTTTATTTTTGCTAAAGTTTTTACATCTGTATTGTCATTGCCACTCTTAAAATCAAAGATCCAAATCCTAAATGGAAGTCGGAGTCAAAATTTATGTATTGTTGATTTTCAGCCAACGTAATAAGCAGGGTAGGCAGAGTACGCGGAGTAGGCAAGGGGGGCAGCTGCGTAGGGAGCAACGTAGCCAGGGACGGCGGCGGGTACTGCGTAGTCCAAGCCGGAGTAAGTCAAGAGTTGGGGCTTAGGTTCCGGCTTAGGATTGGGCGCCGCAAAAGCCACAGCCAGGACGGCAAAGAGAGCGAACTGTGGACAAATTCAGATGTTAGTCTATAATATTGTGAAGATTGTCTATGAGAGACCATCAGAAAGAAATAATAAAAGTTAACAAGAAGGTATTGTCAAAAATGCAAATTTTAAAAAGAAATGAGTGTATGAAACTAATTTCGTTTTTGTTGTCATGAAATTAAAAACAGGACATAAATAAAGGTTATACATACACATTTGTTATTATTTCGCAAGAAGAAAAATTAATAGTCATTCGATTGCTGCGCTCATACTCTGATTCAAATTGTATACCGTAGCATTTAAGTTTATTTGAAAAGAGCAACTTAGAGTTTCTTGCTCGTTCTTCTCAGGGAAGTCAGCATAGTGAATGAGCCGCAGCTTAAAAAATTACGTTTTTAAGTGTAAATTTATTGCACCTCGGGTATTTTAACTTTTATTTATTTATTCAAGCGTTTATTGTACAGGAAACACAAACCACATTTAATAAAAGGAAAACAAACAAAAAGTTCTGCCGATTTGTGAAAGAAATTTCTTCGTGCAGGCCTAAATACAGGACACAATAGCTAGAATACCGGGTTTACGCCGTTGCTCATGGTAAGTTATGTATTGTCCCAGATTACTATTTAAACAAATTTTATTAAATATTTTGAGGATAGTGAAAGTGTTACAATGTCGATTACTTACGATTTTTGCGAACATGTTTGTAGCGATGCAGTGTACTACCGAATCATACTACTTACTAGTTCAGTTAAGCTTATATATCAAAATTTGGCCTTGATCTTTACAGTATATGATCTAATTTGCTTGTTAGATGACGAGCATCGCAAGGGCGTACTTAGAGGTCGTTGCTCCGCGTATTGTTCAAAGCCTAATACATCCTGACTTACCTTGTAAGGATATGTTCAAAGCCTCAAAGATGTTTCTCATGCTAACAACATAAATCTAAGAAAACCTTAAGTATTATATGTTTTTATACAACTAAATGGCAGTTATATTGCCATTATGTGCCAAGAATGTATTACTGTAATAAAACTAAATGGCGCATAACTTTATTCGTCTCAAGTGTTATGTTAACTTAAATGTAAACAAAGTAGACCTAATTGTACATGTATTTCTCGTCTCAAAAACGTTTATGTATTCATAATTCACATGTATTCCCGTCGAGACTCTTTTGTGTCTTCGTTATTGGCTACTTCAAGGACACGGGTTCACTATAAAAATGGAGCTGCGGTAAAAAATCGGAACAGTTCTGAATTGAGTATACTAAGGGACACAAAGAGATATATCTATTTTCAGTGAATAACACAAAATGTTTGTCAAACTGGTAAGTTCTCATATAGAGGTACACAGCTCCAAGTATCCCTTTAGGTAACATATCAATTAAATAACATTTTATTGTGAAATGTAAACTTAGATAATAATCTCGGTACAGAGTACTAAAAAACCGACCTCAAAAGTCAATCCAATAATATTTTCTACAAATTTAAATGAGTACTAAAAAACCGACCTCTAAAGCCAACCCAATAATATTTTCTACAAATTTAAATGAGTACTAAAAAACCGACCTCTAAAGCCAACCCAATAATATTATCTACAAATTTAAATGAGACCACAACTTAGGTCACCTCTTTCCAATAAAAAAAGAATCATCAAAATCGATTCACAATTTGCCGGCGTTATCGCGTAACATACATACAAAAAACATGTAGCCGAATTGAGAACGTCCTCCTTTTTTTGAAGTTCGGTTAAAAGACAGTAAAATTATTTTATTAGACATGCTGTATATTGTCATCTACGACTGTTTGATTTCAAATATTGAATAAATATATTTGCAATAAAAAAATATCACCCCAATTTCCACAATAACATCTGTGTTTTCCCGTATCTAAATCACTTCTTGAAAATATATAGTTTTATTTACAGTATCTGTCTTATGGCTGTTTAAATATTGGAATACAATTGTTGACATAATTCGGGAAGTACGTGTGTGAAATCGCCTATTACGTAAAATATTAACATGACAAAGGATCATTGTTACATTTCTGTTGGGGCATATGACTATTGAAATAACAGACACGTCATTCGGAAACCGGAATAAATTTTTTAAGTTTTGTATTTTAGAACACTTTTGTATTTCCAATGTCATTGCGATACGTATTTTTTTTTTATAATAACAAGTGACGGGACGAACTAGTCATGTGCCTCATGGTAAGCTACACGCCTGTCCATAACAGTTGCAGTGCCACTCAGTGCTTTAAATCGGAAAGATCTGAGGGGCACTGCCACTGCGCCCTGATACATAAATTGACAAGTCCCACGAAAATCGAAACGCAATAATGAACTTTACTGCTTGGCGGCAGAAATAGGTAGGTAGGTAGGCAATCTCATTGCGAAACGTATGTAGTACGATCACAATTTAATAAATGTTATTTTCATATCTGTTATTTTCTACTATTACATTCTGTAGAATAAGTTCTCTTATTAACCCATGGACAGTATTTGAATAGTACTTCACACAAAAAAGGTCTCTACTTTTCTTTGTGTCATAGTCATTGACTTACAATTATATGGACGTCGGGTCCGCGCTAAAAAGTGTCCGAACTCATAGGGCGTTAAAACCGTATACAGAGCGTCATTCATGCTTTAGTCTTCGTTTGTTCGACTGACAGCGAAGCAAGCAAAATTAAACAGTACTGCGATGACATTACAATTTAAAATTCAACGTTTTAGCTTTTTCCTATTCCTTTACATGTCACTACGTTTAAATAGGTTGACTTGGGACTTTTTTTCGTGGTTTTTGTATTAGACCCGTCGTCCATTTATTTGTAAGTCAATGGTCATAGTGCTTAAATTGATTGAATATAAAATGTTCAGTGATTTACATCTTTTAGGTCTTTCGATTTAAAGCACTGAGTGGCACTGCAATTGTTATGGACACGCGTGTAGCTCACCATCAGGCGCACGACTTGTTCGTCCCATCACTTGATATTATAAAAAAAATCATTTAATTTTGTCAATACGTTGTTGATACGTGCACTATTGTAAGCACTTGGAAATCGAGCTGTAAAGCTAGTAATGTTTTTTGAGATACATATACCAAAACAGGGTATGGATATTAAGATCTGAGGGGCACTGCCACTGCGCCCGTCATCCTGAGACGGAAGTAAACAAGTCCCACGTGCCTGTAATTTCACCAGAACTCTTAACCTTTAAAACCGAAACACAGTAATGCTGACATTAGTGCTTGGCGGCAGAAATAGGTAAGGTGGCAGTACTTACCTGGACGAACTCTTTCCCGCTGCGGAGCTCTATTGCTACTATATACACAGTACACAGAAGTACTTATTGCTGTACTTATGTGCCTGTAATTTCATACTATACTTGTACAATTATATTCTGATATCTAATATTGTACTCTTTATTTTATTTTATTTTATTATTTTGTTTCATATTGTATCTTATATATTATATTCTGATATTTAACTGCCTCTGTGGCTGAACGGTTAATTTATAAATATTAAATTATAAAAAAATTTACAGTGTAAATGCTAGGTGGCTCGAATTACGTGTCCGGGAGTATTTTTGATTTTATTTTGGTTAAGCTTGTGAGATGCGACCTCTTTCGTCGTTGTTCACCCTTTTCTCTGGTTCCTGGCCACACCTTTTAAATTTTGAATCATTCTCTAATTATTTTGCATCGTCATTCTTACTTTGCTTCGTTCCGTCATCACTCCTATCAAAATTCTCGTAGAGGAAAGACCGTAGCATCCTATCATGTAAACCTAACTGCTTATCAGCAGCAATAATACGAATACAAGCCCTTTGTGGTAAGTTCACTAATCATATAACAATAAAGCTCACAGTAAGTTCTCATATGTAGGACGTGTTTTTATATTATTGTACCTGTTTTTATACCTACCTGGTTTTGTTACAGCCTTTACTTTACTTGTCCTTCCTTTCCTCCTTCGTTCACCTTTTCCCTGTTATACTTCTACAATAAATTCAAGTCCATCGAGCGTACTTTCTATCCCTAATTACTCAACCCCTCGGTCACAAGCTATTTCAGATAATGATTCAAATTTGCACCTATTACTTGTATCTGATTCTGATTTATATTGTTTTACCTCTGTCAGTCATATATCAATGTACTTAAATATTCCATCTTTGCAACTATGATCCAGTAAATAATCTCAGAATAAACATTTTAAACGTTATTGCTACGATGATACAAAAAAGATCCACGTATTGGCGGATCCAAACTACTTAGTAATGACGTATACGTATGAAAATCATTAATAACATTAAAATTATGTTTTCTCACAGCTAATTTTCTTCACAATCTTCGCTCTGGCAGTGGCTCTACCCCAGTACTATGGCTATGGGGGTGGTTACGGTGGCTACACGTCGTCCGGCTACCCTGGCTACTACGGCGGTTATTCTGGCTACAGTCCTCTCAGTTATGGCTACGGAACTTACGGCGCTTCCCCTTATTATGGATATGGATATTACTAAATTTTAACGATCTCTCAATACACCAAATAATTGTTCTATAAGTCATGTTCTTCAAACATTTTAGTTTTATTGCTTTACGATATAAGTTTATGAGTGATTTTTCTTTTGTTTTTTTTTTGTTGTTTTGTTGCTGTTATGATATGCGACTGTTTCTAGAAGGCTAATATTCTACGTCTCTTTATGAGAAGACAAGACAACTCTTGGTGTATATGTATATTATCCCCTGTTGAGAAATGGTTCATTTGTGACCCGTAATATAAGTAATTATTAATTAAATACGTTTTACATTAAAATTTTCCATTTAAAAATAGCCAGCATCTAATATCATACTTAAAAACTCGTTTAAGAAAATATTATATACCACTTGACATTCTAATTTTATACCAGCCTTAGTAACTATCTAAGGGAAATAAATAAGAAAGTATTTTGAACATTCTACGTGGAAAATCTGAATTTCTCAAACGAATTTTCTGTTATAAATTTACCAATTAATAAAAACATTTTATTTCACCAAAATGTTGTGCTGTTTATTTTCTTACAAGTCTACGTTTACGTACATATATATCGCAGTTGAAACAATATCGTCACATAACAAAATTCTCATTTTTTTCAAATATACACTCGATTTCAAAAACTTGATGCCATTTCTCAAAACTTGATGTTTTCGTTTAGTAGGTAATATGATTACAATATATTCTTAGTCATGAAATAATGCTTGTTCCGTAGTGTTAGTATCAGTTTTGTATCGTACATCATCGTTGTTCTTTGATCATATAATAATGATTGTAAATCCCCATTGAATAGCTTTTTTATCTATAATAAAATTTACATAATAATTGAGTACACTTGTTGTAAGCACACAAAGCTAACATAAATATTAAATTAACTCGCTGAAAAACTACGACATATTCTAAAACATATTGTTAAGCGGTCAATTAGAACCATGATGGGTTTCTCGCCAATCGTTACCGTTGTTTTCGTTAACCGACGAATGTAGGTGCGAAATTTAATTTGAAATTTACCATGAGCTTTTCGGCGAAAGAAACTTGCACACATATGCAAAGCAATTTAATGATGTGTTTGATGATCTCAATCCGCATGAGCCAGCGTGTTAACTACGCTCCAAGAGAGTGCCTGTGTCCAACAGTGGGACTATATACATAATCTAATTACTGTGGTATTTTCGTGGAGAAAATAGGAAAAACGTTGTTGACTAGTTAGTGATTTTATTTGAAGTGACCATTATGACTAACAAGTTTTTGAATAATACACTCCCGGACACGTAAGTCATGCATGTTGAGTATTTATTGCTCTCAAGTTTATATTGAATTGATATTAAATTATTTTTATGTGAAATAATAATTATAATTGTAATGTTTGATTGATCGAAAACTACTAAGCTGTTTTGAAATTGGTGAACTAAACGTCATTTCCATGAGTCCTTGTCGAAATTTGAATTTATAAAACTGGGCAAAACTGCTTTCTTCAGTAATAACAACATTTTTGTGCTCTGCCCTTTAAGAATAAAAATGCAAGGTGGCTCGACTTATGTGCCCGGGAGTATATAAAAGAATACATATTTTGATTATAGAATACGAAGTACACTAGCCAGTATTTCAACACCTACCCAAAAGTCTAAAAAATAAACTTGTTTATAAGAGCAATATAAATCTTTAAGTGTAACAATAGAGTATATACCGGGTGGAAATCTGTAGTACCACCTGGAGTTTTCCTTGATTTTTTACTTAAAGTAAATATTCCTTTATATTTGAAAAGAAATAAAACTGCATTCAAAGATTTTCGAAAACAGGCGGGAATCGAACCCGCTTTCATCTGAAAAAAAAAAAATGCACCCTGCACATGTTTATATATATATTTTGTGTGTGTGTGTGTGTGTGTGTGTGTGTGTGTGTGTGTGTGTGTGTGTGTGTGTGTGTGTGTGTGTGTGTGTGTGTGTGCGCGCGAGCGTGCGTGCGTGCGCATTTTATTTTTTTTATTTACTTTTTTTTATTTTATTTTTTATTTACACATTTTATTTATGACTTTTTTTGGGATGCTGTGTTTGCTGATGCATTTTAAGGTCCATTTCAGTGACTAAGGCAAATAAAGTTCGCAACGACGAATGCCTAACCACCGGAGAAAAAGTTTCGTGGTAATCTGCACCCTAAACTTGGTAAAAGCCTTTTATCGCTAGTCTGGTTTTGTACCTCGTTACATTACCACGTGCGTCTGTCTTTAACTTATATAACCATTTGCTTGGACTTATTTTTCTATTAGGTCTGTCCACCAGCTTCCACGTATCAAGCTTCATCAGCGAATCATACTCATTTTGCATGGCTGATCTCCATTTATCAGCATCATTGACTCGGATCGCTTCAGAGTACGTTTGTAGCTCATTATCTTCAGCCAACGTATAATATGAGAAATAATCAGGAGGTTTTCGATCTCTAGTTGGATATCTCCGTTCTTCTACCACTGGATGATACTCCATAGCCTACTTTCTAGTGGACTTGACATTGCAGGATAAACACTACTACAGCTACAGAAGCATCTTCATATTTTTTCTGTAACATATCAATTGTCTCGTCAATAGCACAAGGGAAGATATTTAACTCTCTAGATACCTCGGGCAATGCGTTTTCCTCACTTACACTGGAGAAGGGGTCTCTAACTCTTTATGATTGTGTTCCTGTACCGGACTAATATTGTCAGACATTAGTATGACAGGTCCAGGTTCTGGAACAGTTTTAGACGTACTTGAATCCTCATTTGATTTGTTGTTCGTCAAGTTTGTTAAGCAATCTTCGAAGAATGTCACGTCGCGAGATTTTGTAAACCTTCTCAGATATTGGGGGTCTCGAAATATGTAATCGGGTCATCCGAATATCCAACAAAGCTACATTCCACAGCTTTCATATCAAATTTCTTACGTCGACAATCAGGTATATGAATTAGAGCTCAACATCCAAAAACTCTAAGATTACTTAGATTTGGTTTACACACATAAATTGTTTCGAAAGGAGTTACACTGTTAAGCGCACGATGGGGCGACCTATTTTACAAATAAATTGATGTTTCTACCGCGTCTTCCCAAAATGCTTTCGAGAGAGAATACTCTGCCAACATAGAATGTGCTTTTTCAACTACTGACCTTATAGTACGTCCAGCAACGCCATTTCGTTGCGGACTGTATGCCACAGTCGTTTGATGTACAATACCATTAATACGAAAGTGATCAGTTAATTATTTGTTGACATATTCACCTCCGTTATCTGTCCTAACAACTATTATTTGAGCTCCAGTCTGCCTTTCCGCTAGTTTTTGGAAATGACAAAACTTTTCTTTCAACTCTGTCTTTGAAGAAATTAAATATATAAAAATAAAGCGTGTATAATCAACTACAAATGATAAAGCATACTTATTACCTTGGAAAGAGGTTTCTGACATTGGTTCAGATGTAGCTGTGTGCCAGCTCCAACACTGAAGTTGCGGGCTTGTAATCTATTTTTTAAATTGTTTTCGAGATTATTTGCCTTGAACACAGGCTACCCAATTCTGTTTATCAATTTCTGTAAACTCTACACCTACATGACAGTTCCTCTACCATTTGGTTCATAATAATGCGACACAGATGATCCAAACGCTTGTGTCATAGCTGGTAACAAACTGTGGAGTCAGAGTGCACATCACAAGCCATAGCACGAGGAATATTGTACAATCTAGTTTGTACAGTCCCCTGTAGGGCGGACCGTGAAGAATAGAGTCACCTACAAAAGAAAAGGTATATAACAATATATTAATATTACAACCATTTATAAAAAAGTACAGTGAAACCTTTTTCAACAGCTTTATAAACAGATATCAAATTACTACTCAAAGTAGGTACATAAATTACATCGTTTATTTTATTAACAGCAGACCCAGTATTAATATAAATATTTCTTATACCGCCGCAGTCAATTTTAGTACCATCCGCTATAGTAATCTACTTGTATGATTCCGGAGACCTCATGTTCTCAAGCCATTCTAATTTCGACGTCATATATATATATAGTGGCTCCTGAATCTATAGTCCAGAAATCGTCACTGAAATCTACATCTTACCAAGGGCTACTACTTAATGAAGTCGATTCTTTCACCTTTTTCTTGTTCTTCTTCAAGAAACGGTCTGGTCGTTTATGATTAGGTTCGTTGCAGTCATAGCAAACAATAGGTTTCTTAGGTTTCTGGATTTAATATCTCTGGAACGCATAGCAGAATCATTTCATAATAATTCGATAATTCGTTTATAAGCTTAGTGTTTACTAGAGCTGTAGTCACGTTCTAATTGCTATTTTCTAGGGTCATAATCAAGGGAACAATCCGGGATCTAAGTCTTCCGAGTAAAATAACCGCTACAGACTTATCTTCTATGGTTTTCCCTATATCAGATAGGTCATGTCCAGTCGACACCACTGCTCTTATGTACGTCTCTATATCAGGGAAATCACTGAGGCTAAGCCTGTATAGACTTCTTTCTAAATAAAGGCGATGACCCAAACGTTTGTCCTCGAATGCATTTTGTAAAGCAATCCAGGTTTCCGACGCTTTTTGCACTTCTAACGTGCGTCATAGCTGAGCCTAATAGTGTGCGGCAAATTTTCATCAAGGCCTTTTTATCGTTTTTCGACATAACTTCAGCAGAAATATTACGGCCTTCGGGGTACCCTTCTATAGCTTCCCATAAATCCTCATGCATCAAATAATTACACATTTAGAATTTCCAGATACTATATCCATCTCTATTATTTAAATAAAAATAGGGCAGAGAGAAAGAACTAGACCTCCTACCTTATTCGTATCTCCATGTCAATTAGCCATCGTATACCTCGTATGTCGTTTGAACTTGGAAGTCGGAACTAATATTTTTCACTTTTCAAAGTTCCCTTCAAAAATTCACATAAAACGATCATTCCATACTACTTATATTTTTCTCCATTACGAGAGTTCGTGGTGATTATGCTTTGTAGTGTTTTCGTGGAGAAAATTGGAAAAACGTTGTTTACGAATTATTTAATAATATACAAGAATACAAATTTTGATAATACAATACGAAGTACACTCTAACTTAACTATTTCAATAATTATGAAATTAATTAAATATAATTATCTAAACAAATTGTTATGAATCCTGTTATTACCAATCACATTGACAAAAATAAAGCACTCATATGTTTATAGTTATGTAAGCGACGAATTTGGATTAAATTCGTTACGTATAGTATGGACGTTTTCACTGACCACAAACCAACAATACGTCATACCGCCTATAGGATTACGCCCAGTAGAATCAGGTCCATCCTGTTCTCATTAGTATATTAATGACTATAAAATATCTCTTTACTTACTTTGTATCGACTTGCTAAACGTGTCTCAAAATTATGCGACTAGGTAATTCGTATAATTTTGTTGTACACACTATATTACATATTAAAAAAGACTTAAATAAAGCTTTTTCGTACGCCTAATATTGACGACATTTATTTAAGTCAAAATAAATAAATTTGTTTAACGATTTATCACTACATATCATAAATTTTTTCATAGATACTTTTATACGAACATAGATGAAGTATGTGTACACACAGCATATAAGTGACAACGTCACGTTCTGAATTTGCTTGTTTTTAAAAAATAGAAGTATTTATTTACTTCTATTTTTTTAAATAAGCAACCGTGGGGGTATTAATGATTGAAGTACGATTTATCTTAAGTTATTGTAATCGACAATAGGCGGTTACTTATGTAATAAATTACCTCGAACCTACTTATTTATTTTAATTGGGACAACCGTGCAGGTCTTTAATCAGATTAAACTTTTTGTTGACTCACTTCTCGTAGTAATTATGTTACCTTAATTCGAATATATAAACAGTTTTTTCGACAATGCCTTGGATGATTTGCCATCGATCTTAATAACAAAGTTTATTAAGCTTAACATATAATTTTGCAATGAATAATGTCCTAAGAAGAAACGCGGATGTAGGTTCGCAGTTGTTATAGGTAGACCAGGCAATGTGAATACATTTATTGACTAGAAGATCAAGGACGCTTTTTATCTGACTACGACAAGTACTAATCGGGCGTGGTTGTCCTGGTGTTAGTATATAAGTGCCGACAGACTTGAAGAGCTTATCACTTGTGAAAACTCGTGCAACTCAAATCATTACAATGTTCTTCAGAGTGGTGAGTATTCAGATATCTACTTAAAAGTAACACAGTTTACGTGGTGGTGTAAAGGGTATTTATGTTCCATTTTAGTAAGTACGTAAAAAAGCAGCTAATGCCAAGTACGGGTGTACTAGTCATTAACTGCTTTTTTACAAAGTATTATACTTCCATTATTCGAAGCGAAGCATAAGTAACGTAAAAATCACTTTTGTAGTTGCGGTTTCAAAAGGTCCCTTTGTGCAGTTTCATACCAATTTTTCCCGTAGGATTGGCAGCATTTATTTGTAAGGTTTCCAAAAAACAGTCGAGAATTGCTTTGCGTTTTCATAGCGCTGATCAAACGTGAAGTTTGCCTTGGCCAAAATAATATCAATATAAAAACGCCACCAAATAATAGAAACTTTATCTGTGAAAGAAACCTTTTTTGTATTTTATTATATCAAGCGACGGGTTGAATAAGCCGTTTGCCTGGTGGTAAGCTACATGCCTATCCATGACAGTTGCAGCAATGTACCACTCACAGTTTAAAATCGCAAAGATATGACAAGAACTGCCACTGTGCCCATCACCCTGGGACGTAGGTTGACACGTTCTGTAATTTCACCAGCACCGTTCAAAACCGGAACGCAGTAATGCTCACATTACTACTCGACGGCAGAAATAGATAAAGTGACAGTACCTGGACGAGCTCTTTCACAACGAACTCTACTGCTACTAAATAATATAATAAAGCAGTTTACAAAGTATAACCAATTTCAGAGCATTTTTGGATTGCTTGTTTTATTTGAATAAACTTACTTACAATGTTAAAGTGTCTATTCGCAATCAGGTGCCCACCCTGTCGCTCGCAAGTGGGGATCAAAAGTATATCACATTGCCAACATATCAAAACATGAAATCCCACAAAGAATTGTATAATATCTTTTGTTATTCACCATAGAATATTCCTTGTGTAGTATTATTAGTTTTCTCTCTTGTAATATGTAGTACTTAATTAACGACAATACTGATTTTTGCCCTATAGTAACCACTTACTACCTACTCTCAATGACGCGTGTTATTTGTATTAACCTCTTAGTGCTATAAAGGTAAGCACGCTCCAAGTACGTCACCAAGCCAAGTTCACACTTCACCGACAATTGTCGTTGATATTACGAGCTTCCGTTGCCGTCAGTTTATGCCCCATTCTTTTATCATGCGGAAAAAGGTTACGCGAGGAGTTCATTTCGCACGTCATCCCAGTAGATGTTATTAGCGTATAAAAGTGAAATAAGTGCACTATAAAATCACTCTGCGTCGTTTGAGATTTAGAACTTGTTTCAATTATATAATAGCAGAGAGTGACTAGTTTACTCAGCAGCGGCGAAACGAAGCGAAATCATTAATAAATATAAGAAATATAGTTACACTACTTAATTAGATATTTATTCATTGCTGACCAGTCCGGCAACATCTAAGCCCCACAAAAAGGTTTACACCCGTGTTAGCGGATAGTACATTAGCCGCCATGGTGGGCTAGCACCAACTTTAGTAACAAATGGCTTACGAGTATACAAAAAGGTACTATGTAGTCACAAAATCAGTACATTATACCTTATTATACTTATACTTTATGTTTTCAGTTCTTGCTCTTCGCCCTTGTGGCTGCCGCTTTCGCAAGCCCCAAACCTGAGCCACAGGTCTTCGGCTATGCTGCTCCTGCAGTGTCTTATGGCTACACCGGCTACACTGGATATACTCCCTATGCCTACTCTGCACCCTATGCACCCTATGCTTACTCCTCGGGCTACTACGTTCGTTAATTCGACGTGTGATCCTTATAACGACTGTACGCATTGCTAAAACAACATGAAACCGATACGCCAAATGTTCAATTAAATATAATGTTTATTGCAAAAATAATTTATTGTTTTTTGTTCTTCAACCTGACACTTGATCCTATTATAAATATAGATACGTTACCACCCGCCTACTATTACTTTACCCGGAAGAGTATAACAGAGGTAGAGTAAGTACCAAATGTACTTGGACCGGTTTCAAATAAACATGTAAATTAATGTTGGTAGTCGATTGTAATAGAGTCGCTATTATCTTACCGTTTGCGCAAAAAGTGTTCACGATATTTAATCATTATGTATTGATTTATTAACAACAGTATTAAATATCAATATTTAACATTGCCAAGCTTCTTTTAAATTTGACACTATTTTGTATTGTACTTAAACCAAATTTTATAGTGAATACAAGATTTTCCGAATCTGAAATTTAAAGTTTCTCCAATTATTCTACTACCTTGAGCTTGACTAATCAAGTGATTACATAACGTGGAAAGGCTAAATACACCGCTGTCGTTTGCAGAAATTAGGACTGGTTCATGTAATATTATGTTGTTGTTAACATTTCGATTTATGTTATAATAATAACATAATATGGTGACAAAATGTAACAAAAGTATAAAGTCAATTCAATTCAAAATTTCACCTCAGCTAATCATAAATATGTAACCAATTCAATATATTTCTCACAGTTGGCGCTACGGCAAAAATTCGTTAAAAACAAAAAACAAAGATCTGCAACAAGCACACAGAAAAATTCGTAAGGTTTGTTGGCTCGTTCCGTGCGACGGTTTACTTGAAGACGCTGGTTCGAATGCAGCCAGAGCAAAGGAATTTTATAAAGTGTTCAATATTTGTATTAATATTTATTACAAATTAATGGAGTAACTTCAGAAAAATAATTGAATGTCATGGTGAAACATTGTGACATTCAATAAAAGCTTAAAAGAAAATTAAAATGCAATATACTTTGATTAAAAGGTGGAAAGCCGTGGTCTCTGCCTGCATCGGCAGGAAAAGGGTGAGAAGTATATGTGTTGAAAGTTTGTTGTACAGATATAATTGATATGGTACCTACCTTTATAGACAAATTGTATTACATCTCTATTTCATGTTACTTAGGCAAACTTGTGGAAGAGTATCATTATTAATGGGTTTACTAGAAATACCTATATAGATACATTATCCTAGAGGACCCTGGCCTAACCAGACGCATGTGGTTAGATATCGTAATTCAGGTGTAGGTACGTATTGTCCAATAGTTGCCGATGAAACCACTCTATTATTAGTCCCTTTATACCCAGAACACCTACTTGAATACTTCTATAAATAGAGTGTGAACAACAGTTTAGTGTAAGTAATTGGTTGATGTAATACAAATAATTATAGAAATACTCCCTTAACAAAGGACATTAATTAATTTAAATTTAACAATGTGTAATAATAATACAAAAAGTAGGCGGAACTACCAATTTATTATCTCTTTCAAAAATTACTCAAATCATCATCGCTGCCAATAGTTTAAACACTCATCGCATTTGCTTAGTAAATCTTGCTGTAAATGGGAGCTGCGTAGTTATAATTATAAGCTGGGTAGTTGTAGGCGACGGCTGGGGCCCCATAACTCAACGGCGCAACTGGTAGACCTGGGTAGGGTAGGGCACCATATGCTAGAGGCGCCTTGTAGGCAAATGCTGGAGCAATCAGTGCTCCGGGTTCTGGAGCCGGAGCGGCGAATGCAACAGCCAAGAAGACCAGGTAGCACAACTGAAATTAATTTAATCTCATAAATAGAGTATTATTCAGTTTGAAGTTTTAAATTTTACAAAAAGTTCAATAAGATTAACTTTAACTGTTTTTGTAACATTGGAACTAGGTAAGATAATATAAGATAAGATAAATTTATTTCAATATAACTTTATCTAATACAATATAAGTAAAACAAATATAAATAAAGCTATTATAGTATTCAAATAAGAATTAACAAGGGAATCTAGATTATACATTCTTCATAGTAAAGCTATACATTTTAATATTAGCATATAATGTGTAATTGCGATGCCCAAAACTAAGTAAATGTATACCTGTATTTTAGGCATCTTTTAGTGCAAATTTCTTTATATCACAACTTAAAAATAGATTTTCTATATTTAACAATAAAATAATTAGTAGTTATAAATTAATGGTCACCTATATGAAACAACAAATTGTAATAATGAAACAACTTCCAGCAAGTCCCCTGTTTCATTGTAAGTCTTAATCTTACGACACAATTTGACGGTCCTTTTACATTGTATTTTATTCATGGCGAAATAGTGCAAAATAGAATTTAATTTAAGGTAAAGGAATGTACCAAGGAAGCAAAAGAATCTATGCGAGTGTGCTGTGCGGAGTTGTGCACGAGATGAAAAGGTATCGAGTCGTCTTTGGTTGGTTAAAGTAACGGAATCAAATGGAGTAATTGAGTGCTTTTTCAAAATTATTTGTTGGATAAACAGTTGCCGAACCGAGAGGACATCGCACTCGTTTAGGAGTTTGCGTGTTGAATAACCGAAAGGACGGAAGTTGATAACTATAAGAACACTTCTCTGCGCTCTTTCCAGGTTTATCAGGGTGATCTTATGTGCACCGCCCCAGGATGTAATGCAATAAAGTAGCAATGATTGACAGAGGGCTAAATACATTGATTTGAGAAGGGCGCTGCAAGCTGCAAATCTTAAATATTTAAAAACATATATCAATTTTCGAACTCTAGGAGTAAGCGCTACAATATGGTGTTTGAAATTAAGATGTTTGTCAATTATGACACCTAAATATTTAATCTCTTTTGTGCTGTCGAATGTTGGACAAGCACAGAGATTAGATGAGTTCAAGGGTTTGTACAATGGTGAGCTACTATAGAAAAAGCATTCTTAGGAGGTTAGTAGCGCTTCAGGGCATTCGCACTGAACCACTCGGTTACTGAGTTAAAACCAAATTGAGCTTGTGAAAATGTTTCATTCCAACTTGAGGCGCTGAATAATGAGACTATATCATCGGCGTAAGATTTGATCTTGCCACCGGAGAGGGGAAGAGCGCATAGTTGGTTAATATAGACAAGGAATAGGATTGATACTAATATGCTTCCTTGAGAAACACCATATTCAATCGGTAATTCGTTACTCGTTATTTTGTCAATCATCACGCGCTGTGGACCTGCATTTCTTGGAATTAGATTCCAAGACTTCTAACATGTTTAAAAGTATTGGTATGTTTACAGTGTCAAAGGCTTTTGCTGGGTCAAGGAAGATAGCTAAACATTTATTCTTCGAGTCCAAATTTCTTACAATGTAATCAGTCAGTTCATCAACTATGTCGTTCGTCGATAGCCCGTTCTGAACCAAAATTGAGACGTCGATAGAAGTTTCTTAGTTTCTAAATAATTAACAAGCCTTTTATTGATTATTCTTTCAAGTAGCTTAGAAAGAGATGGCAATATTGCAATTGGACGGTAATTGTTAATATTGCTCTTATCGCCGCTTTTCTGCATAGGTTTTATAAGGGCTGTTTTCAGTACTTTGGGAAATGTTCCTGTTAATAAGCAGAGATTGAAAATGCAGGACAGGGGTGGAATCAAACACTTTTTATGTTGTTTAATGAAAGAGCAGTGAATTTTATCAATTCCTGTCGCACAGTCATTTCTTAAAGTCGTAATAATGTTTTCAATTTCAGTTACGTTAGTGTTGATCAAGGCAAATGAGTGCAATTGTGAGTGTGAGGTAAGTATTTTAACCTGACAAAGTACTTAGTTCAAAAGAAAATTAATTTCAAAAATAATAACAAATTTTTTCGCATATTATCCTCATTTCTCCATAAAAAATATTCACATATACTTGTTGATAGACTACTTGTAATATTGAAAAACTACGAAAACTAATTATTTAATAGCACTGGCACCATTTTGCTTAGTTATAATTGATTAAAGGATCAATATCTTCCAGGACAAAATTAGACCCATGTTATTGAAAATAATAATTGAAGCTATGTCACTGATTTCATATTCTAAACGATATTTAATTGCATAATTGAATTCTGTCTTCCCCTTTCCATCATCGGAGGACTAGACGTAGGCTGGGGTTCCACCCCCATCGTCGAACCCATCGTCACTTTCCATCAGGTGAGATGGAGGTCTAATGCCGACGAACTCTGAATTTCTTCCCCTTTATTTACACACAATTATTACAAACTGTTTTGCCAATTCATTAGGATGGTTCTTAAGCGCGTTTTCGCACTGCATCCTTTTCGTATTTGTTCCGAATCCGAGACTATACTAATCTAGAAAACTCAGACAGATGGACTTGAGATGTCGCTTGTGCATTAAGTCCGTTTCGAATCCGAAAAAATACGAATATCGCTTGTACACTTAGAGATAAAATGACACTTCCGACACCTGTGACTATTCGGATCGCTATTTCTAGGAACTGATATGAATCGGACATAGTGCGCAAATATTCTAAGGCTATTACGATGTCTTAAGATAGTACTTTTGATTGCCTCCTTTGCCGTGGTTGTGGATCTCCGAGTTAGTGACATGGACATGGAGTCACAGACGCTCCCCCATAAATAGATTCCATACATCCATGCTACGTAAGAAAATGAAACATTTTTTATTGTAACTCATTCATAATTCATTCTTAGGTCAGTATTGCTGTAGTTAAAATTGTTATACACATACTGTGTTTTGAAAACACAAAGACTAAACGTAATTCCATCTGAAGCTTTTGAATGACCTTGTTTACATTTGGCCTAAATAAGATTGCCCGTTAAGACAAACGTGATAAAATATTTTTTTGGCAACCTAGATGTAGCAAAAAGTATGTATATACAGAGTGAGGTGAAAATAAAATTAGGTTGTTACATTCTAAATATATATACTCGTTCAAATTATGTGGAAGACTAATTTTTTCCACGATTTCAAAGCGCTCTCTTAATAAAACTTGACACCATTGATGGGGAATAATTTTTAAAAATCTTGAAAACATTGTG